GAAAATACTTTCCAGGAATAATGACAGTTCCTGAACTGTACAGCAGAAGTCTGCTAGGAAGCAGCAATGTCTGATGTGCAACTGGACCTCCACTTGCTTTTGAGGAATCCAGTCCTGAAGGTCTATTAAACAAACGTCTGCCAACACACTCTTGGAGCATCGATCTGGAAAGTGTGTCATTCTCCCAAGTGTCAAAAGGAGAAGAAGGTCCGCACCTTGGGAAGCCTCTATCACAATAAATCCATGAAGACACCCACACACTACAGGGAGGCTATTGAGTCCAACAGGCCACTAGACAGTTCAGAAGCTTGCTTTGTGAGCATTAGAAGAGGTCATTTCATTTTGTCACCTTTCCAGACTGTGATGCTTTGGTGTTAAGTTCCAGAGAGGCAACACCTCTGACAGTCAAGAGACTTCCCAGCTAGCAGAAAGGACACTCAAGCAACATGCTGTGAATCAGATGCCAAACAGAAGTCTTTGTGCATGCTCATTTCTTAGCAGGTGGATCTAAATCCTGCAGTCTGAAGATCAAAGCATCAATGCACCAGAAGAGTACAAGGCTTTCCAGAAAACCAAAACACTCAACTACAGCCAAGTATGTTCAATGGCTGCCAGTGATGGCCAGCACAACACAGACAACTGCGAGGCAAACCTGCCATGCACAGCTACCCAGGTACATCTCACCACATCACTCCTGTGTCAGTTTTATTTGAATCTCCTTTAGCTAAGGCCACGAGCTGCAAGTCGCTCTGTAGAGCTTACACACAGATAACTCGGTAACCTAATTTTGTTTGTGACCTAAATCCTATTTGGACAGATAACAGATAAAGTAAAAGGTGGAATGCTTTTCAGTCAGTTGAAAATAGCAACTGAAAAAGAATGGGTTGGAAGTTTACCAGCCCACGCTAGCCACAGATTGTGTCCTCCAGCCGCTACAATGTCTGCTGCAGGGAAAACAAAATGAGTGTTTGTTCATGTGGTTGAAGTCAGAAACACAGTCTGAAATAATGAGAACTGTGGTCTCAACTGACAGTTCTCCATAGCCACCACTGTTACCCAGCCTGCAGAGCATGGCAGTCACACACAGCCCTCCCGCCCCTGACCAGGCACAGGGAGGAACGCCATCAGCTTCAGTAAAATACACCTTCTCTAGACTACATCCTTTCAAGGAAGAATTTTGCTCCGCAACTACTGTCTGAAATTCAGGCTCTATCCTGCCTTTACCCTGTATAGGTCACATGTACGATTATGTATATAATTTTGATAGATACTCTACAGACAGGCTGGGTAGTCTGGAGTAACTAGACAAAATCTCTCCCAGCACTTATGAAGTAGATTCTGTGGTAGCAGACACAGCTCAGATGAATGTATGTCCTCCACACCTCCAACAGCCACATGCAGTCACAAAACCAGAACGGACCTTCCTTCCTCACTGCTGCTCGACACACCATCCTGGGTCTCCATCCACCTGCCACACAGAATTTGTGCAAGAAAGCCATTCACAGCACCTTTCAGCTGCAGTAAGGGATGTCTCAGCCCTCAGCATCACCAGGAGGGGAGGTTTCAGGAAGCCATAGCCCAAGTACAGCAACTAGAAAAGTACCTCCAGTTTCTAATCTCATTCGAAGCCGTCCTGAGTCAGTCTCCTATTTAAAGGTCACTTCAAAGACCTCTGATTTTAACACATGTCCTAATTCACAAAATACTTAGGGCAAAACTGTAGCAGCACTACACATGTAAGAGGTTTTGCCACTGGCTCCAGTCTGAGCAGTTGTAGCATCTGCTCTGCTACAGAAGTGTCCTCCCCACTTGGTTTCCGATCCTCCATGGTAAAGATGAGCTCCTTCAAGACACCTCAAAACAGCTGGAAGTGGATGCAATAGTAAGGGGAAAGAAGGAATGTGTCCTGGGCAGGGGCTCAGGGTGCTGTGGCTGGACAGAGATGAGGCAGGAGCAGTGGCACCACCTGCTGCCACTCAGCCACTGACGTCCTCACCAGCTCTCAGCTCCAAGGCTGTCAAAGAGGTGGCAGAGCAAAGCTCAGAGGGCCTGACACTGGCCAACTCCTCGTGCTCCCGCAAGCGGCCTTGCATTCCTACATGCTGCTCTATATCCTGCCCTGGCACCCACTTCCCATGCTGCCTGCATACCCATGACAGTACCTTCATACATCTTGGAGAGATGCAGACCCAGCCTGAGACTTAAATCATAAGACACGGCCCCAAAAACACTGCAGATGGGAAAGGAAAGACAAGGAGGAGGGCATGCAGGAAAAAGACTTGGGAACACACATCCCAACTTTTTATACTCAGTAGTGTTTCATCTATGCTCTCTGCCCCCGGAAATCATATTGCAGGACACAGTCTATATATTAACGAAAAGCCTCTATATATTAACAAACAACTTCCACAAAGAGAAGCACAGCAAGCACGATGTTCACCAGGCTACAGAGGGTATTCTGTGCCACGGGATGCAAGGCAACTGGGAAGCACTGGTCAGAGACTTAATAACGCCACATTTTACAATTGGGATTCCATGGCCTTTGAAATCGTTCCTTCAGGCAACATGCTATTAAACCCAAGGAACTAACATGAATGGAGACAGAAATCACACACAGATCAACCTGGGAAACCTACCTGTGGAGTCCCCTCCAGATTGCGTGTGCATCACTGCTCACAGGAGCTGAACTCCACCCCTGGCTTATAGTGATTCCCAAAATGGTTCCCTCCATACTCCCCAACTTCTTTTCCAACACTCTTGAGATCTCTTAGACTGAAAAGCAAACCTGCACCTTGACAGGTTATGTGGGGTCTGTACCATTTTACCAGGTTACAGAGCCTCAGCACTGAAATTTCCAAGGCCACGTCTGGCATGACGTGCCTTCCTTCCTCCACAGCAGTCTCATTTGGACCAACAGGGTCTGCACAGGGAAATCCCCAGCAGCATCAAGCCAGCCATCTCAGGAGTACGCCAAGGCCACTATGCTCCATCTGGCTGGGGACAGTGAACAGAAACACACCTTACATCGGGATCACATCTGGATCAGGAGGTGTGGAAAAGCCAACTCAGATCTGAAGTCTAGAAACCTTTCCAGACAACAGAGGAAAAATTATTCCAGACTCTCTGGGAAGCAGGCAGGAGGTGCAAACACATCACCGTGATGCACCAGCTGTGAGACAAACACTCAAGAGAGGTGTGAAAGCAGGAGATGTGAACATTGTGTTTGAGGAACAGCATCCACTATGGACAACACAATGGACATGATGGGTAATCAGCTGTATCCAAGCTTAGCCAGCCTCAACACAGAGAAAACAATCCAACCAACCAACAACATTCAACTCTTTCAAATAGAAATGGCTATTATAACTTGCAGCAGACACATCACCATCATTTTTTGACATATGAACGGCTATCATATTCATCCCAAAACACTTCCAAGTCCTCAGAACCAGTCACACCATTCACCAGACCGAGATCCAACTCCTGCCAACTGCAACTCACTCCCACAGAGACCAGAGCAGCACCTTCTCAAAGGACAATGTTGACAGTCACTTGTACAGATATGAAACTTAAGATGCCACCAACTAATAATGAAAGCTCTTCCGTGCTAGACATGTGCCACTGTGACTTCTAGTGAATCTGAGACAGAAATCTGTGTAGATAAGGAGAGAAAAGTCAAATCCCTATAGATGGCTGATGGTGGGAACCTGCTAGCAGGGAGTAAGTCCATTATTTAATGGACATGGGAAGGTTTGAGAGAGGAAAGGGTCCCACATGGGGTTCTACGGAAAATTGTTACAAGAATCTGATGATGTTGAAGGAGGGACACAAAAATTGAATATATAAATGCTAGCTCTATAACCAGTGAACATACTCTATTTCAGGAAGAAAAAGAGAGAGAAGCAGAGAGGAGGACTCACTGGAAAGGTCACTTGGGGTGGTAAGAAAGATCATCTAAATTACTCTAATATTTCTAGATGCTGTAATTACCATTAATAAGTCATCAGAAACATGTTTCTAACCTGATAAAGGCTTGCTTGAAAATCCCCAGCATAAAGAAGCTACCAGAAATAGGAATAGACCCCAGAGGGTGTATCTTGGGGAATCAGAAGGCACTGAGCTCAAGGAGAGAGGCAGCGACATGCAGAGCCAAGCAGAAGCAGCCTATAACTAGGGACACCCCGCAGAGTCGAGGCAGTGGGGGAAGCTGCAGGTGCAGTCTCTGAGATTTGCCACTGACAGAACCCTTGAGACCTGCTGGGGAACTTAGAGAGGAAAAATCTGGGACATCTTTGCAGGCTAGCTGCATTCTACCACACATAACAGGCTGTGGGTGTGCCCCCCTTCCATCTAGATTGGTGGATCTTAGGATACAAAGCTATTATTTCCTGTGACAATGTATTGTTATTTACTAGCATCAGGAACAGCTCTGTGCCATACTTGCATTCAAACTTTGGATAGGGATATCCTGTATCTAGCTGTCTAGAAAACTCAGTGAGAGCTAATCACTGCTTAACTCCCTGACATCTCCATCTTCTTAGAATGATAACCCTCAAACCTTTGTTTCTTTTAGTGCTAAATAAATAAATACTCTGTCACAGTTATGTCTTTCACAAGTAACACAGAAACAAGAAATTCTCTCTAGTGAAAAGTAATAAGCACTGAGTAAAGAAATAGGAAAATGACACTTAATAGGTGTAGAACTTCATTACAGGCATATCTTGCATTAGCAGCTACAATTTATCTCATTTAAATCAATTCTGAAAGGCAGTAGCCCCAGTCTAAAACATGAAGATCCCAAAACTAACTTTTTTTTTAATTCAGATTGGGGGTGGGAGTGCAGGGGGTGTGGGGAGAATTCACCTACAGTGACCCAAACAGACAAATTTGAGCAACCTACAAATAACTGTAGTAACCAAACCACATTTAAAATAACACTGTGTGTTGGCCAAATAATTTCAAAGTTGTTCCACTAGTTGTGCCTTTGGCTTTATACTCACATGTGTGGGTTTTGGAAAGGTAGTCCAGAAGTGTTTAGAGTAAATCTTGCTGTGGACTTGAAAGGTGGATTTGCAAAATTTAACTTCAGCGCTTTGCGTTTACCTGGGAGACAACGAACATAAAGTAAACTTTTTGTCAGCAACAAAATATTAAGAATATATGGAAATAAACAGGAAAAGATAAACATATTGTAAGAATAGCAAAATGCATTTCACAACAACATTAATAAATCATAGCTTATGTTAGGGACACAGGGATGGGAAAAAGGAGTCAGCTCTCACCCAAGGTGTTCCCCCTCTCTTTCCAAGTCTGTCACCAAAGCCAGGTGTGCAAAGCACCCCCTGTGACAGCTGGAGTAACAGCATCAGCTGCCAGGGCTGCCAGCAGCTGCGGGGCACCTCCACACTAGGGCCCTGCGCATCCTCTGTGCACCATCCCTCCTTTGAACAGCCCCATGCTGGCAGGCTCAACTTCAGCCACAGTGGCAAAGGGGCTGGACTGCTGGCACAGCCTGGGCATGCCACCAGACCCAGAGCGGATGGCGCTGGGGAAGGGAAAGGGCACCTCAGGTTGTCTTCTATGTAACACTCCACCACAGGAGAGCTGATGGGCTTCCTGACTCTCCTCAGCCTAACAGCAAATGGAGATAACTGGGCTTGAGGAAGGTTGGAGATCTGCTGTGCACTATTGCCAAGTGGGTCACCAAGCAGAGAGCAAATTCAGCCCATCGGAGGGGTGACCAGGTGAGAGAAAGCTTTGCTCTGCAGCCCACTGAGAAAACATGGGAAAAAAGAAAATAAATAAATATTAGGGTGGGAGGGGCCCTGGTCACTGCTCCAGCCACTGGCTACGTATTTTCATTGAAGGAGAGATGACCCGCACAACAAGCAACAGCAGCAGGATCAGGGACTATGACAAAGGATGTCCCTTACCAGCTCTCCTACTAGGCCACAGACGACCCTGTCTTGTTCCTGTTCAGCCACAGGAAACCTGTGCTCCTCTCCATCAAAACATGCCGAGATGGGGCCTCTTCCACTTCACCTTCTCAGGGTCCTGTGACTGAACCCCCACCCCCGAGCTTCCCACTGCCTTAGCAATGTGTTAATGACTCAGTGCTGCTCATCCCAGGAAGCATCACTAGAAGATGGCCTGATACCTGTATTCCCCCAATATACTTCCTTTGCCTTCACATTACAGCAGGTGGTGTATTCCAACCATCTTGAAACCTTACTGGGAAAGACTGGAAGGCACCATGCTGCTCTGCAGCATTCTTCTACTTTATACGAAGAGGTGTGTTGGGTAACTCCAAGATCAAAAATTAGAGAAAAAAAATAGTTACAGGTCAAAGCAGCTTACAGCAGTCTCAGGGCATGAAATATTACAAGGATGACAACAGACATCTAAAACCAGCTTGATAAACCAAACAAACCTCAGAATTAAGGATGCCCTCCAAAGAAATACAGACACCCTGCAGTCTGAAAGGTGTGGGAAAGCTTATGGCCAGCTAACACCCGGCTGAGGGTCCTCAACACCTGCCATCCCAGACAATCTCAGGTGGTCTCCAAGTGTCAGGTTCAGATATATTTAGGTTACATTCTGTCTTGAGGTCTCTGCAGGAAGTGGGTGTTGCTGCTACTGGCATTACCCGACCTACAGCACGTGGAGCTCCATAGCGCAACTCTGACCGCTCCCACTTAGAGATGATCGCCTCTATCGTACCTGTTACTTTTAAATTACTGGTACACACTTTCAGTTTTGAACCCATTACAATACAATAATCTGGAAATATTCGCATACACGTTGTACTTTCTAAAAATTGCCTAATTTGTTACACAAAAATGCCACACAAGAAACTTGTACAAAATCCAACAGTGTGAAACTAATTACCCAAAGCTTTGCAGCAACTACCTAAAAATAAAAAAAAAAAAAAACACCATCATTTTTTGGTGACAATTCATCAGCAGATTTCCATAAGGTCCCAGTCAGTGATACTGTGCCTTTCATCACTGATGATGGTGAAGAGGAAAAGCAAGGATGCCCCACCTGTGTGAAACTGTTTGGGGTGAAGACTGCTGCAGTACAGAGCTCAACACTCTCGAAGGGTCTTTCTTGTGTATGTTACCCAAAAAGAGATGTGTAACATATACAATGTGCACATTGGGATCTAGGCTGCAGCACTACAAGAAGACAATAAAATACTTGGTTTTAAAAATCCTAAGCACACTGCAACAAGTTAAGCAATGAAGGGCTTGCTCCTTTCAAGAGTGAGAGTATAAATCTATTCAACAGATTATGGAGAAATGCCACTTACTGCTGGCCTGCAAGCTGGTCTGCTTTGGGGTACTTTCCCTTTAGTAGCACCCTCTTATTTTGTCTTGCCTGGTAAAAATAACTAACTAAATAGATAGATAAATAAATAAATAACATAGTTTAGCGAATTAAAGAATGCCCAAACAACCCATTAACTGTCTTTTTTGACAACATGACTTCTCAGTATGAGATTCTACCTTTGAACAATGCTAGCATTTTCAGAACCTTCTTTAATCTTTTTTCCTATGAAGACCTTTTTTTCCACATGTTTATTATACATCATTTATTCTCCTGAAAAGCATCTAATTGGAGCCATAGCATCCCTCCCCAAGGCAATGGAATGGCCTGGTATCTCTAAATTCTGACCAACCTCCATCCCTGCCTTTCACTGAGGCTGTCCAGTGCTCTGCAGCATGAGGAATACCTTACTTAAGTTAGGTGTATACAAAAAATTACTCACTTTGTGCAAGATGACAGAAAGGAGCGTATTTATACACAAAGCACTATGATGAGGATAAGCAAACCTCCTCTCTTGCTCGGACTTTGCAACTCCAGAATCTTCCAGGGGAGGGAGTGCAATGGGAAGCTTATGTAGACAATGAGAGGCAAGCACTGACACAGCAACAACACGAAGTTTTAAAGAGTGCCAGGTGACAGTACCATTTCATTCTCATTCAAATACTTGTCCATGCACACACACCACATCCTGACGTCCACTCCCTCTTCCCCATGGCACCCTGCTGCTGAACAAATACTAGTGCTACAAAACGTGCAGAGGAGGAACAGTGGGAAGGTAACAGAAAAAAGAGTTTCTAAGCTGAGCTCTTGCAGCACATGTGCACAGTGAACTGCAGAAAAATAACTTAAAAGAAGCCAAATGCTCAGTTCATCCTTATACATGACCCAGAAACAAAGGAGAAATTGAACAAAACCAAAAAGGTGGTAAAACCAAAATGAGCGTCTACCACTTTCTGTAGAACTGATCACCTCTCTCTGTCTTTCATGTCAACTGCCTACAATGGTCTGAAAGATCAGACAGTTGCATGACCAAATATTCATAGAATCACGGAGTGGTTTGGGTCTGAAGGGACCTTCAAAGATCATCTGGTCCACTCCCCTTGCCAGAGACAGGCACATCTTTCCCGAGATCAGGTTGCTCAAAGCCCTATCCAACTTGACTTAAAACATTGTCAGCGATGGGGCATCCACAGCTTCTCTGGGTAACTTGTTCAGGTGTCTTACCACCCCCATCATAAAAACCTAATCAAAGCTGACATTAACACTATCGTTAGCCAACAGAGATGCAGAGAGATATGTATCTCACGTCTGTCTCAAGAAGCCCTGCAACTCTTGATGGAGTGTACGGAGATGACCACAACACTGCACCATCAAAGACCTCTTCTGACTACATCCATGATGCCACCTTCTTACACAGAGCAAAACCAGACTGACTTCACAACTTCCAAGGATCGGGGGGGATGTCAACACTTACCAGTCGCAGGCATATGCTTAAAACCTTGCCTGGCTCATCTGCTCTCCCCAGGTCTGGACAAGGAAGTGTGGTGGTGACCTGCAGGTAACAGTCATAAAGCCCCTTGCTCCCTTGTCCCGTTACAGTAGCATAAACTCTGCTCTCAGACAGGGTCCAGGGACTTGCAACATTCATTGTTCTTCTAGCTTTGTTTTATCGACATGCCTGAATCACAACCCCTCTTTCAAAGGTAATACTACAGTGTCTTAAGATTTTCCCTTTCTAATAACAATGTTAATACAACTTAAAAGAGCATTTCTCTGAAGTGGTCCAACAGTGAAAATGACACCGTTAACTACAAGCTCCTATCGGCTATCTCCTCTTCTGTTCTATTCTTACTACTTGCAAACCTTATACACTGTTTCCTCCTGTTTTCACACGGTGACAGAACATTTTTATCACTGTTAAACAGTCCATCTCATTAGGTTTCTAAGAATAGTTTCAATGACGTCTGTCAATTCTCCCTCTAGAGCTGGATTTTCTACAAATCCAGCAAATACAGAAGCATAACCCACCCCTGGAAAACCAACAGAATGGTTTGCTTCTGCTCAGGTGATGAATAAGGAACAGACATCCTGAGAAATGGCGGGAATTTCGATTCACAGCAATTCACATGGAAACGCATACTGTAAATCAAACATCATAAGAAATACTACACTAAAGTGAATTAGAAGTCTGACAAGAGTCAAAGCAAGTTGTCTTCTCCAGCAGCCTTTCAGAAATTGAGTACTTCATCTAGGTACTTAAAATCTTGAGTTTCATCCCAAAAAATACTTTTGACAGCTCCAAGCCCCTATTCCTCGTAGAAACTTAACTGAAAGCTAACAGCAGACAAAAGAGCCTCTTATGCCTAAAGAGATTTGCTGGTGATTTTGCTATGCAGTTTTAATTCAGACCTGGGCTCAC